CCCCAAAACCCCAAAACCCCTCCAGTCAATTTACTGAAATGGAATTTATAATTGTTTATTTAGAGATTTAAGGTAATTTATTTTCAATAGTCATGCCTTAAAAAAGAAAATAATGGATGTTATAGAAATGCTGTAGAATATTATACTATCTCTTAAACTTCCATTAATCTTTGGTATCAATCGCCAAGACTACTGAGAATATTGATCCCAGCCAGGTTTTCTCATTAAACTTTCATCCTTCTTCGCCATTCCAGGCATTAAAACAATAGCCCATGTCATAAATATGATTGAATAAGAAATCCAATGATTACTTAATGCAGCAAAAGTGAAATATAGCGACATTTCTCCCAAGTAATTTGGGTTTCTTGTGTACTTGAAGAACCCATTATTAATCAGTAAGGGTTTCTCCTTTGTAGAGAGGTTGAATTGCCTGTAAATTGTCAGTATGTGCGATTTCTAAGCATCAGAACAAAGCATTACGCTGACAGAGAATATATATACCACTAGGTTTGAATAAATCCATTTTTTGTCTGTAATCTCTTGAGAATATCCACTGGCAATAATCCAACCTGGAACCAAATAAGGTCCAAGAACTAAAACCCATATCATTATTGCTCCAAAAATAGATATCGGGTCTTCAAAGGATTTGTCTGGAAAAGTGAAGTGCTTTATGATCCAAAGGAGACCATAAGAACCGTGCATAATAGAATAGACAATCATCTAGTCTGAAAAATTTCCATAATAATACATCAGACCCACAAGATATACCGGCATCATTGCCTTTTAAAGATTTATCGCTTGGTAGATTTTTAGAGTCTATCCCTTTGTAGTTTTATCATTTATGACTTCACTACTTGCTTCAGTCTCTTAATAATTGAGTCTAGAGTTCTCTAGGTTAGCCTGTATATCTTTATTGTTATTTTTCCTCTACATTAATAATATTAATTTAAGTTTATCAGCGAAAAGTATCTCAATTTTTTTAAAAACATTTTATTGTAGGAAATCAGTCTATACTTGTCTTTGGGGTTTTGGGGTTTTGGGG